ACACATGTGAATTCTAACACTCCTCTAAAGTCCGGAGAAGAAATTGACAATGCAGTTAAAATATTTACTTCGATAGTCAACACCGCTGTCAATGTTGCCACTCCCACTAAATGTTCTAAACTAGATAATAATTCCTACAATCCATCGACCATTCGAAAACTCGTGTCTGATAAAAGGAAGGACAGAAGAGAATGGCAGAAGCACCGATCACCTAGGTTTCGGGAAAAACTAAAAGAATGTGAAAAACTCTTACAATAAACACTCAGATTAAATGAAGAGCGAAAACTAAAAATATTCCTAAATAACCTGGATCCCACAGAGAGAACTGACTATAGCTTATGGAAAGCCACAAAAAACTTGAATAGACCTATCGCCCACGAATCTCCAATTCGCCTAGAAAATGGGACTTGGGCAAGAACTACAGAAGAAAAAGTAAACGCATTTGCCGAACACCTTGAATCTGTATTTACCCCAAATCCCGGACCATCGACAGTTGTTCTACTTTTAATTGACGACATTGTTCCGAATCCAATACGATTTTCTCTTAAAAAAATCGAAAGTTCTATAGCCTCGATGAAACTAAAAAAATCCCCGGGTAAAGATAGACTTACTCCAAACATGCTCAAGAAATTACCAACACCGGTCGTTAAACTATTGTTATTTATATTTAACAGCATTCTTCGAGTAGGGTACTTCCCGTCTGTATGGAAAGAATCTGAAATAGTAATGATTCCGAAACCTGAAAAAGATCCAACGCAGGTAAAATCGTATAGACCCATCAGTCTTCTATCTATACTCTCAAAGCTGTTCGAAACAACATTACTAAGGAAGTTAACTCCCCATATTACAAGTAGCAATAGTATCCCCGACCACCAATTCGGCTTCGGTAAGAACCACAGTACTATTGAGCAAGTGCACCGCATAGTCACAAACATTAGAATGGCATTCGAAAGGAAGGAATACTGCTCCGCGTTATTTATAGACATTTCCCAAGCGTTTGACAGAGTCTGGCATCTTGGAATTCTATACAAAATTTGTGAAACTCTACCTAAAAACACTCATAAACTTTTTTGTAGTTATTTGTCAAATCGTACGTTTGTTGTTAAATCGAAAGACATACTTTCAAATTCGAGAAAAATATTGGCTGGCGTCCCACAGGGTAGTATCTTAGGACCAATTCTGTATCTGTTATTTACTGCCGATACGCCCACAACCAATGAAACTCTAACCTCAACGTTTGCTGATGATACTGCTTTCATTAGCATTCACAAGGATCCTCTGATTGCGTCGGAAAAACTACAATACCATGTATATCTTCTCGAAAATTGGCTGACAAAATGGAGAATATCGGTAAATGCAAGCAAGTGCATACACGTTACTTTTGCTCTAAGACGTAAACTTTGCCCCACGATAAAAACCTTTAATATTCAAGTTCCACAGAAAGATACCGTAAAATATCTCGGAATGCACCTGGACCGAAGACTTACATGGAAGCAACACATCGATGCAAAAATCACGCAAATTAAACTAAAAAAGGCCAATCTTGAGAGGTTAATTGGTATACGTTCATCTATTAAATTAGAGTACAAAGTCCTATTATATAAGACTGTAATAAAGCCAATTTGGACGTATGGCATACAGCTATTGGGCACAGCTAGTGCCTCTAACGTAAGTAAACTACAAAGAAGACAGTCGAATATTCTTCGATCTATTTCAGGTGCACCATGGTACATAAGGAACGCAAACATCCACAAGGACCTAAATATACTTACTGTTAAAGAAGAAATAAAGAAGCTTTGCCGTAAGTACTTAAACAAACTATCCGAGCACCCAAATAGCTTGGCCCGCCAACTCCTACTATTCGGAGGACACGATAGACTGCGCAGACGTGACACTCTTTCTATCATATAGTTTATTTATTTTTTTGTCTTACTCTCTCATTATTTTCAGCTCTTGTCTGGCCAATTGAACGTCGCCTACTGTTATACTTCTACAGGTAGTAGTATGCTAAATTGGAAGCTGCTTCTGTGAAGAAATCGAAAAGACTATTACTGTAGTCCGCGGGAAGATTAGTGAAGAAATCAGACTATCACTGTAGTCCGCGGGATGATTAGATATAACTGTATCTAAACAAAGCAACATTATATCCGTAAGACTATTTCTGTAGTCCGCGATTCACTTAGATATAACTGTATCTGAACTAATCTTAACTACCTACTCAATTAATTCACGGATATAACTGTATCCACAAGCACACAAAATAACACACATCTATATCGTAAAAAAAAAATATATATATATATATATATGAATAATTAATAATTAAAGCATGAAAAAATATGGGGTGATTGTATTAACAACCTCCCTAAAAAAATATTTGTATATAAGATATGAAACCTTATTGTTATTTTCATTAAATATATGAAAGATTTAATAAATTAAACAATAATAATAAAAAAAATGTTTCGTAAACACTGACCCTCGCCACTTTCTTAGAAAGTGAATTAGAACAGCAATTACATCAAAGCTCAATATCAATGTTTCGTAAACACTGACCGTCGCCACTTAATTAAATTAAAATTTCAATAAGCAGTCGCGTATAGTCAGCGGGTTCGGGGCGCGAGTTTTAGCTTTCCTTACAACAGAGCAAAGACCTAAAATGGTAAAGACTAGACAAAATGCATTTTGAGCAAATGGTTTGTGTCTACAATACGGCTCATGACAGGGAAATGTTAATATATCACCGGTTGGTGGTCTTATAACAGGGTCAATAAAAATAAACTTAGTGTTGATTGGAACGCCTATAAGGCAGACTTTAATAAGTACAAAAGTGAACTAAAAAAGGCTAAACGAAGATCTTGGATCAGCTTTTGAGTGTCTACAGAGAGAGCTGATAATGCTGCTAGATTTCCAAAGACCCGCAGTATAAAGCGAAGAAGATATAGGAAGAATAATAAGCTACCCAAGGTTACATGAGTTATCGATACCTTTTAACCACTTAAATCTCCTGGAGACCGATAAGCGCCACTCCTGTTCTGATGAAGACCTTAGAAAGATTAATGGAAATTCGAAATAAGTACATCGCAATACGCCCAATAAAGTATGAATACTTAAAAGCCAGAGCTTCTATGCAATCCCCAATATACATCGAATATGTAGCTCAATTTCAAGCAGCAAAGGAGTGCGCTGATTTATTTATATAGGTCTGATCTAAGAATCACAGTACCCACACTGATTGACCACTGTAATATAAGATATTTGACATCAAGATGAGATAACAATGTTCCTCCTGACTACTGTAAAAGAAGATGAAGAAGACATAGAGATAATTGGACACCTATTATGCAGATGTCCCATGTTATTCAACAAGAGACATCGACTATTTTTTATGCGGGAGAAACTCTAACGTTCTTTTCAAGCGTAGATCCCATTATCAGGTAGAAGTTTGTCAAAATTTTTCCCTGGATATATAAACATATTTTTTTTGTTTGCGACTAACAAATAACATCGAATTTTTGACTTCTGCAAATGATTCTTTCAATGTATAAATTGAGGATTTATAATCCGTTTAATATATGATGCAATTTATCCTTCCCAACTTTATAATGTTTAATTCGACATGGACTTTCTGGAGTGATGCTAAATAGTAACTACGCCAAGTAGATTATTTAAACTGAAATTTGTTTATTCATATTTCCATTCAAAATTATTTTTTTTTTTTCGTACAACATCGACATTTTTGAGTTATTTCATATCTTTTAAAGTGGAATATGTAAAAACACATATTCTTTCCGGTAAGTCAAGTGTAGGGAAACACATGATGCATCGATTTATTTGATCATTTTTGTGTTTTAGAATATTTTGTCACGTTCCTTGTATAATAAAGGTGAATGTATTTTACAAAAGGATTAAAATGTGATTTTTCGACAGATAGGCTTCATTTAGGGGCTTTAGATTTAGATCAGGGGCTTTAGATTTTCTCCTCTGGGTATGTCCCACACCGGCTAACGCGAACCAAAGTTTTCTAAATTGGATACCTTTTGTAAGTAGCCGGCCTTCGGCCGGGGCTTGAGATTTTCTACTCTAGGTATGTCCCACACCGGCTAACGCGAACCAACGTTTTCTAAATTGGATACCTTTTGTAAGTAGCCGGCCTTCGGCCGGGGCTTGAGATTTTCTCCTCTGGGTATGTCCTACACCGGCTAACGCGAACCAAAGTTTTCTAAATTTGTTATTCCGACGACTGCTACGCGAAATAAACCCTTTTTTATTGAAAAAATCATTTTAAAGAACTGGTTAGAATCGGGTTATGTAGATGGAAAGACCCATATCTCTGGACTCGAAAAAGGTATTAGCACAAATTATAGCAATTTTGTTGTCCTCCTTAATGGACCTTTTTTTGACTTTTTGGGGGTTTAATAAAAAATCCGGGTCCAAAAAATCGATAATTTGACTATAACTTCCGAACCGCCACATCTTACCCCATCATGTGACCACTTGTTGGATATTTTCATAAGCTTTCCAACGATATCTATATTGTCTATATCGGGTAATTGGATCCGGGTCTAGTCGGGGTCTTGAACCCGGACTTTCGAGTCAAAAATCTGGGGTCCCAGGTCCGTCCCCAAGAAAAAAATAGTTTCCCGGGATCAGGGTAAAAATACCTACCACTGGAAAAAAATTTCCTACCACTGGAAAATTTTTACTAAACTAGAGTTATATATATATAAATATAATGCATTTAATGACGAATATTTCGAAGTATATAGACGACTTGCTATTCCGTACATTCAAACCCACGTCATTTTTATCTATTACTGCGACAAAATGATTCTAAGAAGCAACACAAAACACTAACATTGAAAGTATTTTATAAGTAGAAACATTTTCTGTACTGCACAAATTTGAACAATCGATTTATTTGGTAAGAATATCATGACGATGTTTGAGCGTTAAGCGTGCGTCTCTCAAATATACAGAAAATATCCCTTAAAACTTACATTTTTCACGTACGGTGCTTCCAGCATGGCTTCCACATCGAAATCCTCAGCCATTTTCCGCCTGTGAACGTTTAAATGTGCCTTGCAAAACAAATTTTCCCCACAAGCAGATAAAAACAAACTTTTCGGAATATTTAAAAATGTTTTTATGGATAGTTTGCTCCAAAAAAAAAATACGTGCAACAAACGTGATTATTTTTCTAGACTTTTATAAGCAATAAACAGAGTCAAAATAAAATGTACCCAACGCCTACAGAGTAACATAGCCGGCGTCACAGCGCACTGAAGTACAACTCTGAAAAACAATCGATTTCATCGCCGTTGAATGTGGACCGGCTGCAACTCGCAAATAAGCAGTACCATGAAGGGTTGCCAAGTGCCGAACTCTCGCTAAACGTGACGATTTTTCAAAGCGCTTGGCGACTTTTTTTTTTTTTTTTTGTACTTCTACGTCGTCAAGTATGTTGGTGGTTAGAACACTTTCGTGCCCATTCACCATGACCGGTTATTGGTTACTTGAAAAGTATCAGTACTCTTTTATTTTCGTTTTCTTTTTGTTTACAGTATATGTGTGTTTACAGAATGTAGTGATATGAATGAAATACATAAGAAATCAAAACAAAAAAAAAATCAAAACTAAAGGAAAAAATAAAGAACTGTCAGCAAATATGATGATTATTTACAAATAAAAGTCAAACTTCAATTTTGCAAAGTGCAATAAAGTTGATTAATTCATCTATATTTTGTTGGTTTTTGGACATCAGGATTTCCGGTAAGTTATTAAATTTCTTGAACAAATCAAAATCATTCCTATGATTTTGATGCTTTTTGCAGAAAAAAATTATGTGTTTTTCATCTTCAATTTCGTTGCAGGTTTCACAAAGATTTGAGTCAGCAATTCCAATCCTGTGGAAATATTTTTTGGTGTAAGTATGACCAGTGAGCAATCGATTAACAATCTTTATGTTTTCAGGTTTCATGTTTGATGAAAAGAACCAGGGCTGTTTAGCAGGCGCCGGGAAGAATTGGTAGAAGTAAGTTCCTTTAGTCCGTGAGATGTCCTTGTAATTTTCTATAAACTCATTCCACAGGAGTGACTCAATGCGTTTCGACGCATCTGTGACCGACAGACAGAAGTTGATTGGTGAACCAACATTTGCTGCATGCTTCGCAAAATAATCGGCTGTTTCATTGATTGGTATACCGACATGGGAAGGTGTCCAAACAAACGAGATTTTAATTAAATGCGAATTAACTATTTTGTTTAGAATATTGTACACAGTGAAATTGTGAGATGTGTTGTTTTTAAGCAGAAGACAAGCATTTTTGCTGTCTGTAAATAAAGCAGCTGTGCTGACACCGTCTTCGATCATCAAATCAATTGCCTTTTCAATTGCACATAGTTCACCAGTAAGAGAAGAAAGTTTTTCATTAATTTTGAAAACAAAATTTTGATTAGCAGATATATTGCAGACAGCGCAGCCTGTGTTGTTGTTAAAAACAGCAGCATCCGTCGCCCAAATAGAAACGCCTTCGGATCTGAAGTCGTTAATTAATTCGTAGTAGTGTGCTTTGAAATATTCTGTTGGTGTATTGTTTTTGGTAGTATTAAATATATCCAGCATGAAATCTACCTTGTTGGTCGGATGTTGATTGTAACCAATTTTGAGATTTTCAAAAATTGTGCGAAACTTTGTATAGACATATCCAAGACTAGTTTTTCTTGAGGTATTTGAGGTGAAGTATTCATACAGAGAAGAGTTGTATATTTTAAGTCTTATCAATTCTTTAGCCGCCAAGTGTTGAGCTCTTAAATCTGTTGGTAGCATACCAGCAAGAGCGTATACCACATGATTTGGAGTGGAAGGCACCAGTCCCAAATTTTTTCTTAACAACTGATTTTGAAAGCTTGTTAGCTTCTTGTTTATATACATTGGTCTGTGAGCCATCGATGAGATTGCATATTCGGTCTTTGAAAAGATAAGTGATTTTGACAGGTTTATAGCTTTTGCGGGATGAATTCCACTTTTTGGACCCGTGACCATTTTTAAAGCATTAACAGTATTTCTGCAGGATATCATCACCTCTTCGTAGTGCTCCTTGAGTGATAGACTGTTTTTAATATGTCTCCCTAAAAATTTGATGGACTTAACAACATTTACTTGGACTCCATTTAGTAAAATGTTGGGATTTCTCCGACTTTGGCGACTTTATTTTCATGTGGCAAAAAGAATGTATTGAGCATGGTAGAATGAAGAAGGTAAAGTCATGCAATCATATGTTTACAATTTTTTTCAAAATTGTTCATTTGACAACATCACTGCCTTTACACGGTGCAATTTTTAGCTGGCATTTTTATCAATTCTCTTTTAAAATTTCTGCGTAAATCTTCGCGCCTTTACACGGTGGCATTTTACGATAATAGTGCCTGGCATTTTTTCTGACATTTTATTTTATTCCGTATTTTGTATAGAGCTAATTGTTTGTAACAGATATTTATAAAGAAGTGATTCAAAATTAAATGTGTGAATCTAAAGAAGAAATGATGGAAAAAGTTATTGAGGTGTTAAATATTGCATTATTAACTTTTATTTTAACTTTCTTTTTTTACTTTTTAATACTTCCAATTAATTTTCATATAATTCACTATACAGTTCAGTCACTAAAAACATAACATCACAATAAAAGAAACGCATCAAAAATTACAATAAAGAAACGATATGAAATGTCAAAATCATAAAAAATTCGGAAGAAGCAAAAAGAGAAATGCAAAGAAAATTGCATGTAACCCTGTGCGGTGGCTTATCGTGCCATTTTTCTTCTATCCTTGTCTCTCTACACCTTTTACCAACAAAAAAAAAAAAAATGGCATGGTTGAAAAATGTCACCGTGTAAAGGCAGTGCATCTCATTTTCAAAGTGATTTTGACTGGCATTTTATGTCAGTTACATTTCATCCAATGGATCTTTTTTTATTGTTCCCAAATCCGAGGAAGAACGCCAAAGATGGTCGCAAGCATATGGTTCTCACTTTTATGGGAAATAATTCCTCCGTGAAGACCACTTTGTAATCAAATTTTCCAAACGGAGCTGCTTATTGCCCAATGCAACACCGTGTGTGGCAATAAAGGAAAATGAAATAAACTCTTGCGGGTAGGAATATTAAATAATATAAGGACGAAAATGTTAATATTGTACTTTTCAAGCAGTGACATTGGAAAATCAGAAAATGAGCAATATTCATGGAAAGAAGATATCCTCTCCGCAAGCACTTCAAATGAGACAGAGTAAGAATTTTGCTTAGATTAAATTTAGCTCCTTAAAGATCATTTCAACGTTTCTTCAACCCTTCCCTGCTTTTATTACCTCCTCACAAATGTGTGATATATTGCTAGAAAATACAAAGTTCATATTGAGGTAGGGAGCGAAAATGAACAGTAGTTGTATATTTAATCATTTACCTCCCCCATAAAATATTTTTTTCTGTATTAAAGCTGGTGGAAAAATGGAATATATCGGTCAACACTTTTGGTACTTTCCCCACAATTATGTCCGTTTATTTAAATATATTTTGACTTGCGGAGGTATTGCAAGTTTTGAGACAATATGTATCACCTTAACATCATTTCTTGTTTTAGTAGAAGAATTACAATGTGGAGGAGGTAGCAGAATATATATATATATATATATATATATATATATATATATATATATATATATATATATATATATATATAAAAGAAAGTTGTGTTAGTTACTACGCTTATAACTTGAGAACCGCTGGACTGATTTTAACGATCCATACAAATTCGGAATTGTCTCCTCTCCGAAAAGGATAATATCCAAAAAAATCGCGTAATAATGTGATATATTAACATTTTCATGTTGACTTTTGAAATGTACAATAGTAATGTTTTATTTTGCATGATTTTTTCTATGTTAACTTATTTTTTTCTAATGTACATTTGTAGTGTTTTTTATATTTATTTTTGAATTCGAATATTAATACCAATTTATTTAATTGACTTGATTTCTTGAGAACTGAAATTGATGGCGGGTTGCAGGGAAGTGTAGTACCGAATTATGTGGTGGCGAAACGGAATAGATGATGTCGAAATAATTTAACGCGATCACACCAAAGTTAAAAGATAATTACTTTTTCAAAATCGCAAAAAAAACACGAAAAAGAGATCTCATTGCAAAAATTCTCAAATCGGGAAAAAACCGAAAAGAATTTTCAATGGAATCGAATTTTAAATAATAGTACATTCTATTCTATTGGCAAACTTTGTAAGGATCTTTAAACATTTGCTGTAAAAAATCAGCGAACAAGTTGAAGATTTTTTCCAATTTGTTATTCTTTTGTCAATTTTTTTTCAATTTGTATTATCATATTGAATTCAGTGGATAAGAATAAAGAATAATTTTTTAATATATACAATTTTTCACCAAAAAAAAAAAAATAAATAAAATAAAATAAAATAAGTGCGAAATACGATGTTAACTGACATCTACCATTCAACTCCAGAGCCTTATCGTAGTTCAGCTGGAAGATGCGAACACATTTAAACAAACAAAAATGACCGAAAAAGCCTAACGGGACTCATTTCAAAACGTGGACCTACTTCTTTCATGTGACAATAATCCGTCCAATGAGAGCTCAAAATGCAAAATTCTTTGGGATTACAATCAGTAAAATACCAAATTTAAAGGGTGTAAAATAGTAGAGCGAATGGAACTTTTAGTAAGAAAAGGATTTCTATCCTTCCAGAAATTCTTCCCGAACACTCAAGATACCTTAAATCGCTTTTGCAGGTCATGATATCGATCATAACTCACGGATAAGGGTACAACCCGATTTCATATTTTTATAACCATCGTAAGATTTAAGCTATTTTTGGGTTCTTGGCCACTTTTTTAATTTTTTTGCCCTTATTTGGAATCTTTGTTTCTAAGGGGGTAGAAAACCTCTTCGCAGAAAATTTGAAATTTTCAGAGTAGGGCTCATATTGGTCTTGACCACATTCATCAATTGATTTGGCTAAAAATTGTATTTATGCTACCCATCATATAGATAATTGCCACATATAAATTTATTTAAGTAAAGTCCCCACATTGGAGTATCCCCAAGCCCACTTTCACATCTAATGTTGGGTCAGAAAAGAAAATTTTGTATTCTATTGAATTTGTAACCCCCAAGAGAATATTGGTTAGAAACGTAGATTTGGGATAAACATGTATATGAAATAAAT